AACACTGCAGATGGTTGCGGACTGCTGCAGACCCCCCATCCTCTTTTTTTTTTTTAAAGACTACTTGGGTCTTAAAGGACAGAGTTTGGCTGCATCTTCCTTTTTAGTGTCTAGCATCATCTTTGCAAGCACCTCATTATGTGTTTTGTAATGTGTTGTCTCGGTGCCCTGGGCAATTTGGGGAATTGAACCGCTAAACTGTAAATTTTCTTCTCTCACTCTTAACTTCTCAGCGCTGTCCTTGTGCCTTGATCTGGCAGTCCCTCCTAATTGCCAGTGGCTTGGGAAACCATGCACTCCCTTCTGTGAGACTTGTATTCTAAAGGAGGTGAATTGGCTGGAAGGGTAGATCTGGAAAGAGGTGTAGGCTGGAGGTTGGGAGCCCTCGGCTGGACTCTGGTGAGTTTAGTCCTAGATTCTGGGAACTCTGAAAACTCCTGTGTGCTAGGCTCCTGGTGTCTTCTGGGTAAGAGGGGTTTTCAGCTGTCAGGCTTTCCTAGTGTTGTCTTATCAGTATCTTCTCATCTGTGCCCAATTCAATTTTATCATAGGGAAAAAAAAAAAAAAGGAACATTTTACCAGATAATGAGAAGAGTGGATAGAGAGCAACTTAGACCCGAGGCACGGGCCTTTTCTGCCCAGTATTCTGGAAATCATGGTTCTTTCTGCATAGAATTAGCAGACCTCAGACCCGCAGTTAGAAATAGTAGCCTTGCATCCGGGGTGAGTCAGGAATTTGGAATCAAGAGGGCTGGGACCCAAGTGACATTTCTCTTTGAAGGGCCATGCATTCTACACTGGAGACCAGTGGGGATAGCAGAAGACCTAGGAGGAGGAGAAGGAGTTCATGAAACCATCACTGGGAAGGTGTAGGTGTGAGGAGGGAGATTTCACAGCTCATTTCAGAGGAGGAATGATAAGGATTTGTGACTGAAATGCAGACACTTGCATTCTAGCTATGAGGATGAGCTATGGTGGTGCCTGAGAATAGCCAGGTCATTCTGGGTGCAAGGAAGAAACACCAATAAAAGATGTGTGTGGCAAAGGTTTCCCCTGGGAGAAACAGACATCGGGAAAGAGGCATCCAAGTAGGACAGGGCCAGGTGGAGGGTGGGCAGCTAAAGGAGTCTACTTGTGAGAGCACAGTGAGTGGTGGCTGGACTGGCCATCCCTTCCTGTCCCTTCTAGAAGGAAGCCATCAGTGTAGTCACTTCTCACCTTTTAAAGAGCTTAGGGTGGGAGTGTTCTCTGCAGACAGCTCTGAACTGTTACCATCAGCCCTTATCTCCTGCCTGCCAGAGCAACCAAATTTAGAGACAGCAGTGGCCCCTTCTGTCTCTATTCTAATCTTCCCCCTCAGGCCACACCTTGCACCTACCCCAGTGATCTCCCCCTGAAGTTACCCACTCTGTCTTTATCCACTTCTTTCTCAGGTCTGTTTGCTTTCTCAACTTTTCTAAGGGGAGAGTTTTCCCCGCCCCACCCTAAAGAGGACAAAGTAAACATTCTGGCAGTTGGTCAAGGGTAGTGCTTGGCACTCCTGTCTGCCTATGAGGAGGTCAAGCTGAAGTACACCAGTGTTAAATTTGTAACTAAAGATTCTCTTTTAATTCTTCTGAACATCAGACTGGTGAAAATGCTCCAGGAAATCCAAATAGGTGTTAGGGATGGAAAGCCATCTCCAGGTAGGGCTAGCTGGATGCCTGTCTCAAGGAAAAGAAAGTTTTGCAAGATTTGAAATGGAAAATAATGACCTTTGCCCCTGGACTTGGCGACACCTGCCAGTAGTCCTGGGTACATGGTAGGCTGAGGCAGGAGGATCTGTGAGATCAGTCTGAGACCAGTATAGGCAAAACAATAAGTCCCATTCAAGGAAAAAAAAAAAAAAAGAGAGAGAGTCCTTTTGCCACTTAAGCTCCAAATGCCAGAGGAATTCCCACAAAAGGTCTCCTCCTGGTCCTGCTGTTAGCTGAGCCTGCTTTCTATTAAGTGCCATCACTCAAGTCACAACAGAAACCAGGGCTTGCTTGATTTGTTTTAGGAGGTCTGGGGTACTGTTTCCCTGGTTGCAGTTGAGTGTGGCTTGAACCTGTTCATGAACTCTGGCCTCTGTCCTGTTGTTGAACCTCTCTGCGCCTCTGGCTTCTAGTCAGTGTTATTCAGAGCTATAGAGTCCCCACACAGACCTAGGACTATGTCATGGGCCCAGTGATGACATGCTTCGGTTCATGTACATATTCAGTACCTTTTGTTTTATGGTCTGAGGGGGACAGTCATAGGATAATACTTGAGAAAAAAAGAAAAGGGGGAGGGCGTTGGATGACTACATCTATTGAATAAACAACTTTGAAGTCTATTCAGCTTTGAACGAGAGTGGAGGGCAATGGATAAATCCTAGTGATTCTTCTCGAAAGCATTATGTCTTGTATACTGGAGCTTGAACCTGCAGCCTCCCTTATACATGTTAAGCAGGCAATCTGCCATTGAGCTGTATCCCCAGCCCATTTTATACTTAAAGAAAAAAAAATATTTACTATTGTGGAGGATTGGGGTATACCACAGTATGAGCTTGGAAGTCAGAGAAAGCTTAGTAGAGTCTAATCTTTCCATGTGTGTCTTCCAAGGTTCAAGCTCAGGTTTCCAGAATATGCAGCAAGCCCTTTTGACCACAGAGCAAACTCACCAGCTCAGTTTTTATGTTTTATTTGGAGATAGGGTCTTGACATGTTTCCCAGCTAGCTTTGCACTTACTGTGCATGGTCCAGGCAGGTCTTGAACATGTGATTTTCCTTTCCTCAGTCTCCTGAGTGCTGGGTTTCAAGCATGTACCCCCAGGCTAGCCTTTAGTTTTAAGAAGTTAGTTGGAATTCTGGGTATGGTGGATTGTGATTATAATCCAAGCACTTGAGAGACAGAGGCAGATGGTCACTGTTTGAGGCTAGTGTGATGGTCTACATGGTGCATTTCAGGCCAGCCAGGGATATATAGGAACACAGGCTTGAAAAGCCAAAGCAAAAACAAAACAAGAAAAAATGTAAGTCACTTTGAAATTAGATCTGAAAATTAAATATTAGTAAAAGGTGGCTGGGGTCCTCAGTCTCCGTAGCAGTGGTTCTCAACCTTCCTAACATGGCAGCTCTTTAATACAGTTATTTTCATTGCTACTTTGTAACTGTAATTTTGCTATTGTTATAAATCAGGATATAAATATCTCATATGCAAACTCCCAAGGGGGTTGTGACTCACAGGTTGAGAACACTCTCTATAGACTTGAGTTTCAAGTTTCATAAAAATTCCATTAACACTGATGCATTTTATCAAACTGTGTATTTTATATAGGAATATTATATGATATAACACTTATTTTTAAAGCTGTTATTGGGTATGAATATTGTTCTGTGTACTGAAAACATTTTTGAATGGAGGGGGTTTGAAGCAGATTAGTAAAATGTTCCTGCTTTTTTTTTTTCCTGATCTAAAGTTGGTTTTGAGGGACAAAATTCCCAAGGCATAGTTTTTGTTTCAGTACAGCAGGCAGTCTGACTGTAGTAATAAGTAACTTCTCAAATACCACTCAGAGTTCCTCTGGTCTCCTCGGCCTCTCCTTTTCGTTACCGTAATTACAGCAGAGATCCTTAAGACCCATGTAGGACCAGATACAGAATCTGCCCTCTGTGATCTCATCACCACAAAAACAGGCTGTAAGGGCGGTCCCTCTCCTCCGAGGAAGCTCCTTCCCTCTGGCCTCTGTAATTTCTACCTCTGCCTTTGTTGTAGTCTCAAATTCAGAAAGGATGTTTTCCCTGGCCTTGCCAGAAGCAATGGTACAGGCGGGTTGCTCATAGTAGGGCAGAGGCCAGAGAACAAGTGTGCTGTGTATATAACCTGCTGCAGGTCTGATTGGAAGGGTGTACAGGTCTGAGGGCCTCAGGCCGGGATCTCACTGTTAGAGGGCCTGGTGGGGACTCGTGGATGTCCTTTGATACTTGTTGGCCAATTGTGGATGGCACACACGAGAGGTGTGCCTTTTCTGTGGAGGTGTGCTCTGAGGAAGGACTGACAGAAGTGCTTGCAGTGTCTGATAGAAGACTCAGGTCTGTCTGATCCTCTGAAAGGGACAGGTAATGGGGGAGGAGCACACACTAGGCCACCTGGACATACAGGCTGTTGTTCACCAGGTGGTGCTGTCCTGCAGTGGATGAGACCCTTGCCTGCTGTAGAGCAGCTGGGGTGCCCAGAAACCCTGACATTTGCTTAACAAGAGCATGAGTGGAGGCATGTCTTGTTGAGGCAACATTAAATATTTGGTAAGGGAGTGACTGACCACCTGTCCCCTGGAGGGTTCTGTTCCCTCCCTTGTGTTTGCACCAATGAGGTCCCAGTTGATTCCGAAGTGGGCGGAGGAGACTGGACCTTCCCCAGCTCAGTACCTGCTTTCCTCCCAGAGAACACCTCCAGTGCTCTGTTCTCATCTTTGAAGTCCTGGTGGGTATGGAGGCGGGGCATGACTTCTAGCTCCTCATTAAACCAATTTAAAGAGGAGGAAAGGCCTCCACTCAGCCTCTGCATGCATAAACCTATTAGTACCCTGTGTCCTGCCAAGGCAATTTTGTTGGCCCCATTGTGACTACTCACAATTCTGTCCTTATTGGCATCATGGCTGTGAGGGTACCGACTTGGGCCAGAGCCTAGTTGTCAGTGTTTGTGAGTGTGAAAAGCACCCTCGGGAATAACACTTTTCTTGTACAGGTGTAACAACCAGGAAATAGGCTGGGTCAGTCATGGGAGACCTCTGGAATCCATCGAGGGAGTCTGCATTGAGTCTGTCTCTATGTCTGACTATCCTTTTTACAGAAGCAGGAGGGTGATGGCAGGTTGCAGTAGCCCTACAGAAACCAACAGTCCAGCAAATGGCACCAATGCTAACACCCAGGGCGGATTGGTGGGGGCTGCTGTCTTTGGTACAGAGGAAGCATTGTGGGGGTGGGGCAGGCATTCAGGATGACTAATATATCTAGTGGGAGAAAGGCTGTTCAGAGGGAGGAAGAGCAGGAGAGCTAAGGTGCTGAGCTGTACACTCAGAAACGGGGAATCTTGGAGACAGCTGGGATTTTTGATTGAGGTAAGAATTGTGGGAAGGAGAGGCCAGAGGGTCTCAGGTCCCCAAGGTTACTTTAAACCCTGAAAACATTTCACTGTGGACTGGGCTGTAAACCTCTCTGAAGAGAACCTGAGTTAGTGGAGGTGCGGTGCTGGAGACTGGTGGCCCGGGCCTCATGGTAATGTCCAGGCCAGCTTGCACCTAGTGGAGCAGGAAGTAGCAGAGTCCTCTGCTGTTCCTCAGTGCGGTTGTCTCTTCTTCTCCATCTCCACTGCTTTCAGGTTCTCAGTGAGCCCAGAGCTGTTTTCAGGGTGTGTGGGTTGCTTGTCCCATAGGGTAAGTGTACTGACAGACTTGCATTTCCTGGTTCTTTCTTGCCAGTCTTCTTCGGTTAGCCTCTGTAGAGGAACTTTCCAGGATCCCTGAGTGACGTGAGACACTCACTCTCCGTTGCAGGCAGGTGGATGGAGCCTGGGGTGAGGTGAGGTGAGCAGGGTGTCACTGATGCAGACAGATCCTGAAAATTTTGATTGCTTAGGAAAACAAACTTTATAATAATAATTTGTTTGTTAAAGAAGCCAGTGTCTTACTATTAAAACACCTGGTTAATAGTGTAGAAATGGTAGTATATCCTTGATTCAACATTTTTTAATTTAATTGATTTATGCATATTTCAGAGTTCTTTGGATTCTTTTTGTATATATCTAGTATGGTACTTTTCTACTGAGAATATTTACTATACATTGATTGCTATAAAGTGTTGGCTTACAGTTTACACACAACTGATTAAAATGTCTCAGATTATTTATAGACTAGGCCATTTATACCCCAGGATGACCTTGAACTCGTGATGCTTCTGTCTCTACTTTTGGCATGTGTCTCTGTACCTGGTTTGTGTAGTGCTGGGGATCAAACCCAGGGCTTTGTGTGTGCTAGGCAAGCCCTCTGCTGAGTTAGGCCCTATTCATACATTTTGAAGAACTGTCCCCCATTGTTGTTTAGGCTAGACTTAGACTCAAGTGACACCCCTGCCCCCAGCTTCCAGAGTAAAAGTATCAGGGACTACAGGCACACACTACTGTGTCTCGCTTCAGAATTTTTAATAAAGTTAGATTGACTGTCTCTTTTCTTCTGTCAGTCTCCTGTCCCTAGTTCCCCAAGAAAACTTTGTCAAGTTTAATTACAAACTGCCTTCTGTCTCCCAGGAGACAAATAAGAGAATGTTTACAGCCTTCCTTACGTCAAACACCACTCACAGCTTGGCTTTTTGGGGTCATCAGTTGGAGTTGGTACGTCTCCCACCCATTTTGCAGTCTGCCAGTGTCTCTGCCCACACTGGGTTTCAGTGAGAAAAGGTGTGTGGTTTTAGGAATTTCAGGGGAACAAATTAAACCTGTGCTGTGATTTTTCCTGTCTAAATACCTATTTCATGGCTGGAGATGTAGCTCAGTTTATATAATGCTTGCCTAGCATGTGCAAAGCCCTAGGCTTGGTCCCCAGATACTGAAATAATAAACAGACATAATGGCAAACACCTTTAATCCCAGCACTCAGGAGGCAGAGGCAGGGGGATCACTGAATCCAAGGCCAGCATAGTCTACATAGTGAGTTTCAGGGCAGCTAGGGCTACACTGTTGTAAGACCCTACTTAAAAAAAAAAAAAAATCAAAACTTTCATAGTCATTGTTGTCCACATAGTAGGGCGAGCCTGAGCTACATGAAAAAAAAAGGGAAGAAAGAGAAAGGGAAAGGAAGGCCCCTTTCATATACTCATTTTTCAAAACATTCATATCTCTCTCTCTCTCTCTCTCTTCTCTCTCTCTCTCTCTCTCTCTGTGTGTGTGTGTGTGTGTGCATGTGCGCGCGCGCGCATGTGCATGCATGTGTGTTGCAGGAGTTGTTGTTTTCCCATCATGTGAATTCTGGAATGGAGCTCAGGTCTGAATCCTTGCGCCATCTCACCAGCCCTTTGCTGTCCTTTCTACTTGTGCCCCTTATCTCCATTGCAAAGCATGCAGTAGGCTTGGAGCAGCCCTGCTTTTCCCTTAAGGAGAGTGGTCTGATTGGGAATGGGTCCCAAGGCTGATGTTGGATAAGTACAGCTTGGAGTATTCCAGTTAGGCTCAGATGCTCACACAGGCATGGGCAGGCATCCTTCCGCAGGACATCCACCAAAGACTGGCCCAGGTGTCTCTGTGATGCTTCTTCAGAGGGGTGGAGGATCAAAGCTAAGGTTGCTCCACAACCTACCTGTTCCTCAGATGTCCCTGGGATATACTCTCTGTTACCTTCCCTGTGTGGCTTGTCAGTGGGATTCCTTTCCTGCACTTACCTTTCTATCACACCATGTTTATCCATCAAGAACAGTGGCTACAATGCTCCCCTGATTTTGGGAGTCTTGCCAAAAGGTGGTGTGGGTAGAGAGTGCATATTAGAGTCTCCGGTGAAGGAGAAAAATGAGACTTCTGGGACTCAGCTCAGGTGTGCTGAGTTAGTTAACTGCTACTTTTTTGTTTTTAAACCCCCCTCCCTCCTTTTTTTTTTTTTTTAAACCCCCCCCCCCCCTTTTTTTTTTTTTTTTTTTTTTTTGAGACAGTTCTCTGTGTAGCCCTGGCTCTGTAGGCCAGGCTGGCCTTGTCTGCCTGCCTCTGCCTCCCGAGTGCTGGGATTAGTGTTGGGATTAAAGGTATGCACTACCACTAGCAGCAACATCTCAGGATTTTCAAATGGTCAAACCCTCCCTTTGCTACATTAATATTTGAGATATTTTAACATTTTGAAAACTACTTGTAGAGGTGTTCACTTGAAAACGGAAAAAAACGCCTTCTTACCCTGAGCAGATGTTTGAGGGTATTATTTTTGAACCTCACTAACTAGTTTAACCACTTTGTACTGCCAAACCAACATTCCCTTCTGCCATATACGACTGAACCATTTCACAACCTCAACCTAAAATTGCACAGCAACAACGTTTTCTACAATTTTTAACTATACGTAGAATGAGAAAAATAACACCTAAGAGTAATTTGCTAAATTCAGCCCACATTTGACTTATTTAGAAGTCCAGGTGGAAATCTGCTTGGGTGGAACTCTCCCAGAGATTTGCATATTGAAATGGAGGCTCACATTGCAGTCACACATTCCTCAGGGTCACAGTGATTGAGGTGTGCTTCCCTTAAAAGATTTACTGGGCTGGAAATGTATTTAGTGAATTATCAGTTTTTCCTCCTCAGGTTTTGTGTGCCAGAGAATTAGCAGAGTTTTTTCTCACGGATGAGCTTCAGGAAGTAGGTAAGAGTTCACTAACAGATCATGTGACTTTTTTTTAAAATCACATTGTGTGTGTGTGTGTGTGTGCGCGCGCGCACGCACGCACGCACGCACACACACACACACACACACACACACACACACACACACACACACACTTAAATGCATGCATACAGTACCTATGGAGATCAGAGGACAACTTGTGAGAGGTGGTTCTCTCTTACCATATGGGTCCCAGTGATCAAGCCCAGGTTGTCAGGGTTGGTGGCTGGTGCCTTTTTCTGCTCACATCTCATTGACCCTATTAATGTTTTTAACTATTTTATGTTTTAAACTCTTTTGCAAATTCCTTTTATCTGAAAGAAAATGTTGCAGCCCATTAACATTTAAGGTCTTACTAAAGTTTTGGTTTTGAGGCATGGTGAGCTCCAGTTTTGAAGTTAGAGAATTTCATGGCTTAGGAGGGACCTCACAGATGGCTTGTCATTTGGTTTTCATTGCCTCAACAGAAGCTGCTCTTGTTGAGGTCACTTGTGGCTTCTGATGGGAGACCTCTGTGGTCACTTTGTAGCCCTTGGCAGGACTACCCTGTAGCGAGCATACTCCTGACCACCTCTCCTGAGAACCTTCTCTGGCCTCCTTTGCACATCAGTGACTGTCCTTCCTCCTCTGCCGGCCCTTCCGTGCTCATGTCCCCTAGGTCAGGCTCTTCCTTAGAGGTTCTCATTTATTCTGTTCAGCCCCATCCATGTTTGCCACCACCTACAAGTTAATCTCCCCAAACCCCATCTCTCTCTGAGTTCATCCTCATCTCCATCTTTTGGACCTTTCTCCTTGGATGACTCATGGGTACTTTTAACTCAGGATGTCTAAACTTAACTCATTTCCTCCCTAATTATCTCTTGCTTCCTGCCCCACTCCAAAGCCCTCACCCCAGTGCATCTCTCAGTTTTTTCCATTTTTGTCGTGGGCTGTATGGTGAGTCTGTCACTAAAACCAGAAATCTGTGACTCCTCTTCTTCCTCCCTTAGTCAACCCCTTGGTTTAGTTAGTAATTAGTTACTGTTTTTAATATTGTAAATAATGAAAAGGGTGATTTTATTTATGTTTTTTGGGAGGGTAGTGTCTTGATCTGTAGCTCAGGCTTACCTGATGGTTATTATGTGGCTCAGGCTTGCCTCAAACTCAAGGCAGTCCTCCTGCTTTAGCCTTCTATGTACTGAAATGACAAGTATGTACAGCACACCCCTTTCTGAAAAGGATTTGAAAACCCTTCAAGCTATTCCAAGCTTTAGAACAGGTACTTAGGTTGGAAGGAGCCAGTTGAGAACATTTCTAGTCATATTTTTTAACTGGACAGTTATCCCAGGCACTTGTCAGATAGTATTCTAATTTTCATGACTTGATGGGGTATATATTATAAGAGAAATTTAGGGTTCAGAGAAACTCAATATAGACACAGCATCACAGAGCAAGGAAAAGTGTATTGGAGTTGGGATTTGAACCTCTGGGTCACCCTCTCTCAAACTCCAAAGCCTCTACCCACTCTGGTTTGCCTTGTTCTCATAATGACAGTGTTGCTTTAGACTTCTGTCAGGTAAATTGAATTTAAGTTCGCAACTATGTGTCACTCGTGTTTTCTTCTGTCAAGATACATCTTCTTTTCTTCCAAATTTGGGATGGCTTGGATGTAGTTTGTCCTCTTCCAGTTGGGTGTTGAAACTTGGTCCCCATGTAACAGTGTTGACATG